GGTAGTTCTCTGCTAATGTGCTGTTCCAGTCGTTTTTGGATAATCTTCAGTAGAGTCTTGCTTGCATGTGAAATCAATGAGATTGTTCTATAGTTTCCACACTCAGTTGGGTCACCCTTCTTTAGGATGGGAACAAATACAGATCTCTTCCAGTCAGTTGGCCAAGTGGTTGTTCTCCAGATTTCTGGGCAGAACTTGGTGAGGACATCCAGGGCAGCATTCATTAGCTGAAATATGTCTATTGGTATACCTTCTATTCCTGGGGCCTTATTTTTGGCTATTTCCTTCAAAGCAGCTTGAACTTCTTCTTTCATCACCACAGGCTCTTGCTCATATGTTATTTCGTGAAATTCTTCTGTGTCTGCCAATTCCTTTCGATACGGTGACTCAGTATATTCTTTCCTTCTTCTTTTAATACTTCCTGGATCATTTAATATTCTGCCGAAAGCATCCTTGATTATAGCAACTCGAGGTTTGATTTTTTTCTTCAGTTCCTTGAGCTTAAGATATGCTGAGCGAGTTTGGCCCTTTTGATTTTCTGACGCCAACTCCTTGCACATTTCACTGTAATAATTTACTTTGTCATCCTGTGTTGCCTTTTGAAATCTTCTATTCAACTCTTTTGTATGTTGAATTCTTCCTTGTGCTTTGGCTTCTCTGTGCTACAGTGCAATTTTTAGAGTCTCTTCTGACATCCACTTTGGTCTTCCCTTCCTCTTCCGTCTTTGCAATGATCATCTGCACTCTTTCTGGATTATACCCTTGATATCTTCCCACAACTAATCTGGTCTTCGCTCATTAGTGTTCAAGGCCTCAAACCTGTTCCTGAGATGATTCTGAAATTCAGGTGGGATATACTCAAAATCATATTTTGGTTCCCGTGGACTTGGTTTAATTTTCCTCAGCTTCAGCTTGAACTTGCATATGAGTAGTTGGTGGTCTGTTACACAATCAGCTCCTGGCCTAATTTTCACCACTAATATTGAGCTTCTCCAGTGGTTCTTTCCACAGATGTAATCAATCGGATTCCTATACATACTATCAAGTGAAATCCATGTATATAACCTGCGTTTATATCTCTTAAAAAACGAATTTGCAATGAATAAGTTATTGATTGTGCAAAATTCAATCATCCTCTCTCCAGTTCCATTTCTGTCACCGAGTCCATGTTTTCCAACTACTGAATCTTCTTCTTCCGAACTTTTGCATTCCAGTCACCCATTATTATCAATGCATCTTGATTGCATGTTTGATCGATCTCTGATTATAAAAGTTGGTAAAAATATTCTAAATTCTCTTCCTTGGCTCTGGTTGTTGGTGCATATATCTGAATGATAGTGGTATTCACTGGACTTCCTTGTATGCTTATGGATATTATCCTGTCACTCACAATATTGTACTTAAAGATAGATCTTGCAATAGCTTTAACTATGAAAGCAACTCTATTTTTTCTCACCTTTTCATCTCCAGAATAATATAGCATATGATCATCCGACTCAAAATGCCCCATGCCAGTCCATCTCATCGCGCCAATGTCAATATTTATGTGTTCCATTTCTTCCTTGACAATATCTAATTTTCCTACCTTCATGGTTCTCACATTCCATATCCCAGTCACTAGTATCTGCTTACAGCTGTTCCTCTTCCTTGGTATTTCCATATTTGAAAGCTCAACCTCAGTTGCCCTTTCTGTTATTTACATGTGTTCTATTGTACATAGGGTTTTCAATGATCTGCTATTTCAGAAGTGTATGGCCAATCCTTCTTCCCAGTCTGTCTTATCTGAATGTTCAGATTTTGAGAAGTATCAGACAGACCACCATTTTATAGAAAAAGTGAAAGATATATACCTTATTGTGGAGTTAACCATTAGTACCAGTGTTGTCTCTGCCTCTGGCACACGTGTCTTTACTTACTTATTTCCCTACTCCACCATCCACCAGGATATCCATCCACTTCTACCCACTCCCTTCACATCTATCTCCAATTGACCAGCCCTTGATCTGATATTTTACTTTAAAAAAAAATTGTCACTAACAATAACACAGTGACTCCTTTCTCCATGTGTCATCAATTAATTATATTCTGTACATGGAAGTGCAGGAAGAAGCAAGTCCTGGATCTGCCTTTAGGTTCTGGCACTTAATAAGAGATTTAAGCAGAAACAACAGGATCCACAGCTTCCCTTTCCATCACAGCAGAAAGGAATGTTATACATTTTCACCCAAATGTTTTCTTCTAAAAATTCAACTTAACTGATCAAATTTATCAGCAAAACTATTCATGGTATTCCTGGGTTGATACGTACCTTAGTTATTATAACTATTGATTCTGACTTTTTTCCTTTCCAACATGTTTGAATTCTTTGTATGATTCTGCCCCCGCAACCCCCACTGCCAACCTAGGTATAGAAAAGGCCTTCTTATTTGATAAAGCAGAGGGTAAATGAAAAATACAGAAACCCTCAATGAAATGAACTGACACTGACAGACACAAAAATTAACTTAAAAATACCAATGATCATGAAGGTGTTGCAGAACCAGTAATATTTTATTCTGTTATTCATAAGGTCCCATGAGTTGAAAGCTGACTCAAAAGTAACTCAATATTAAATGCATTTAATACTATAAT